GGGAGCCTAGAAGTGGTAACACAGTCTATCCAACTGCTTCCAGCCCATCGGGAAGCATGTGTTCCATGCTGAGATAAACAAACAACATCTCAGCCTGGCACTGGTGACCTGTTCTGCAAGCACTTTGCATTTATTTTTTAGTTTCTATTTGTTCTCTTGAAGCCACTGCCTTTGCCCTCTTCAGATCACTCAAGTCCCCTTCTATTAGCTTTCTGATCTCCTGAGATGGCATCCTCATTTCTGGAGGCCACTGCAAGATGGAAAAAACCTTTCCTGTGATTCTCCTAGATCTTGGAAGAGTTTGGTTCTTGTGTGCCATTTCCCCCCTCGATCTGGTCTTGTATGTGACCATGTCTACAAATAACTATGTTTAATAACTAACAGCTTTGTCTTTATCCAGTTCTTTATCTGGAATTCTTCTCACGTGGAGGAAGAAATTTTTCTTCTTAAAGTCACAGTTTTCCAATAGATAGCTATAAATCAGATGATAAAGCCTAAGAGGAACGATAGTGGATTTCAGCCCATCTAGAAAAGCCTGTGCATCAAAGCCCTGCCAAGTTGCTGCCTTCTTTATGCAGACTCTAGGACCACCTCCCAACACAGAATGAATCACTGCTTCTGCAATGCAACCCTTCGTTTGTGCCACATCTCTCATATTACCCACATAGTCATTCACACCTGTATAATAGTTACCTGTTTCCATGTCTCCTTCTCCTCAGAGGTGAGCATCTGAAGGGCAGTGGCCATTTAATCTCTTATTCAACAAATATTTTTTGAGTGCCCACTATGTGCCCGGCACTGGTCTAGGAACTGAGAAGATGGAGGTGAACAACCTGACAAAGTCTCTCCCCAGTGTGGCTTGTTATCTTTGAATTGTCCAAAGTCTAACATAAGTGTATTAGCTACCACATAACTGATTGCCACATAACAAATGACCCTAAAACTTAGCAGCTTAAAACTATATAAATTTATTTCCTAACCCAGTTTCTGAGGAAGCCACAGGTGTGCAAGGAAAGCCAAGATTTTAATTTTTTTACATCAAAATGTTGCTCAGAAATATGTTTATACATAATACAATTTGGCTGAAATCTGGGAGCGCCTTAGCTGGGTACTTCTGGCTCAGGGTATCTCATGAGACTGCTGTCAAGATCCCAGCCAGGGTGTAGTCATCTGAAGGCTTGATTTGGCGGGAACATCTGCTTCCAAGCTTGCTCACGTGGCTGTTGGCTGAAGGCCTCAGTTCCTTACCATGTAACCTCTCTATACGGTGTTCATGATGTTGCAGCTGGCTTTCCCCCAAGTGAATGTTTCAAGAAAGAACGAGTGAGCAAAAAGGAAGCGGCAGTATCTTTTGTCTAATCTCAGAAGTGACACGCCATCCCTTCTTCCCTACTCCATTGGTCACACAAACCAATCCTGGTACAATGCAGAAGGAGAGTACACAGGTGGGCAGGGATCGCGCAGGGCCATCTTGAAGGCTGCCTACCACAGCAGGGCCATCGACGGTGGGTGTTCAGTCAACACTTGTGAAAGTTTTACCCCAACAAGCTATAAGTCGAAACCTTTACTTTGAAAAGAATAGACTTTATTTTTAGAACAGTTTTAGGTTTACAACGAAATTCAGTAGAAAGTGCGGAGAGTTCCCATGTACCCCCTGCCTCCACAAAACCACAGCCTCCCCCACTGTCCACATCTTGCCACACCGTGGTACATTCGTTGCAAGTTATAAGCCGACATTGACACGTCATTATCACCCGAAGTCCATAGTTTACGTAAGGATTCACTCATGGGATTGTACTTTCTACGGGTTTGGGCAAATGTATAATGACATGTATTCATGATTACAGTATCATACAAAATAGCTTCACTGTGCTAAAAGTCCTCTGTGCTCCACGTGTTCATCCCTCCCCCTTCCCAACTCCTGGCAACCACTGATTGTATTATTGTCTCTATAGCTTTACCTTTTCCAGAATGTCACATAGTTGGAATCAAACAATCTATAGCTTTTCTGATTGTCTTCTTTTACTTAGTAATATGCATTTAAGGTTTCTTCATGTCTTTTCATGGCTTGATAGATCATTTCTTTGACTTTTTTTTTTTTAAACAAATAAGTGAGTATACTTTTTGCCCTGGCTTTACTGATGATATTGTTTTGGAGTGTTTTTAATCTTCCACTAAGCTTAAATTATTTGAATGGTTTATCCAGCTAACACGCTGCTGCCATATTAAATTAAAAAGTCAGTAAATGTGTTTGGGGAAGACTTAGTAACTTGTCTTTCCCCTAAATTGTCTTCTTTCCCTTATAGTCAAATTCTCTAACCATCTTGCCAGGACATTCATGTTCTGTTTATCTAACCATCTGTGGAAAATCTCTGTTTGAAACCCTTATTATGTTCCATTTAAAGTCAATTTTGTTTACTGTACAAAGTAACCAAGTCTTGCTAAAAGAACTGAGTTCCCTCAGAGGAAGGTCGATGTCATGTGTATCAGTTGATGAAGGGAGATGTCACCAGTAAGTGTTGGCTATTAAATAGAAGCCTCAGGTAGAGGGGAAGGGAGCTACTCTTCTCTGATGGGGAAAAAAATAAAGCGATATCATTGCTGTTTGTCCCAATATTACAGTGAGCTAGCAAAACACAAGCAGACAACAAAGGTAAGATTCAAGTTAGCAGTGTTGTTGGTTGTGTGATTTTCCTCCTCCTGAAAGTCAGTAGAGACTTGACAATAAAGGGATGGTGTTCTAATTAGTGGGATCAAAGGAAAAGTAGTCCTTGCTCTTATGACTGGGTTAAGAAAATGTTTTCATTCCTAGAGGAATAAAGAGGGCCTTACTTTTCTGTCTACCCCCTCACCGCATCCCCCCCCTCCACCCCCGCAACCCCAACAAGGTGAAAATCTCAAACTGAATGACAGTTAGCACTAATCTGGCACTTTATAAATTGTGATGTAGTCAAGCTATGAGTGCATGTTGATTGTACTTAACCCTTAACTGTATTAACATTTAGCTTGCTAAACTAACTGCCTCAGGTTCAGGCAAGTTATAGTGCCTTGTTGTGCCTCAATAAAAAAGTGTCAAGTAAAAAAATTTATATCCACTTTTGGGAATGATTTCTTGTTATAATGCACCAGAAAAAACAAGATTCTACTGGAACTGGAACAGATAACAGAATATAGTTGAACTTAATTAAAATTTCAAGGAAACAGATTTTTCTCTAATATGTTGCAACCAGACAGCCAGCAGCTCTCACCAAAAAAAAAAAAAAAAGAAAAGAAAGAAAGAAATGATACAAGAAGCCTACATATTTAGGAGCAAAACAGTTTATAGATCCGAGTGTGTAGAAAGAGATGAAAAATTCCCGCGAAGGAAGTTTAGGGTGAGTTAGAAAGATGCAAGTCTTAGTGGAAAATCAGTTTAACTCTTCAAAATTTGCTGACATTTAAGGGTTGATGAGAATGATAATTGAATTTGTACTTCTCGACAACTTGCTCCAAATTGTACCCAATGTTGCAATATGATGTAGTAGTTCTGAAATTTAGCTGTTTTAACAGCAGTATTTTCAATAAAATGCAGTAAATGAGTGGGAAGATGTGCCTCACTTAACCATACCTCTGGGGAGTCGGGGCTCCAACGTCGTCACCACCATTTCCCTCATGGTAACCACACCTTCTGAAAGCCATAGAGGTGCTGGTGTACCTGAGAGGTAATAAGTAGCCCCTAAAATAAGGAACCCAGAGTTACCAAGGACTAGTAAACACGCCATCTTTAAAAACATTTTCTACATATCAATTATTTCAACATCTTGTTGTCAGCCCCTCTGCTGCCACACCGTCCTCCATCTGCCACAGGCTCCAGTTGCTAACTTTGAGAATAAGCGTAATAGGAGCATGTAGATTTTGAAAAAAACACCCTCCATCGATTCTTACCTGCCCTGCTGGAGGATCTGGGTGGGAGGGCATCCCTTCCTATTCACTATCAATTGACATAGCAGATGGAGCGTAGTGAGCTTCCTGGCCTCTGCATAGCCATCTGAGAAGGCTGCCTTGAAGAAGTCCAGCTGAAAGATGACCGGGAGTCAGGGCACCTGGGTCTCACCTAGAGTTTGCCACTAACATTGGATGTCCTTTATTTGTATTAAAGGGTTGGACAAAATGATTCGTAAGATCTGGTAGAGAGTGGATATTTTGCTGTTCCATTTTAGCCAGAAGCTGATAAACCTTGTGTAGTTTCACAGGGTGAAATTACTATGTTTTCATGTAAATCTAAACCCAAGATTGCAAACAAGTGGTCAGACCCAGAGGCAAATGTGTTTGGTTTAGGCTCCCTAGTGTTTTTTGCTTATTGTCCTGTTTGTTGCTGCTATTGTTGTTTTAAATTCGCTGTTAACACCTAAAAACAGGGAGATTTCTCAAAATCACTTCTGTCTTGTCTTGAAATTTTTGGAATCGGGCAATCCCCGGTTCTCATTCCTACACTGCAACCTCTCCCAGACCAGGCATGTGCTGTTGGTTCCCCAGGGAACCCTGAAGGCCACAGAGGTGCTAGCGATAACACCTGGCCTTCTTCGCTCATTTCCATCCCTTTCTGGCCACTGTAGAAGTTGGAGTTTGCAACCCCTCTTTTATGTTCTCTCCACATTCCCCAGATCACATGAGACAATGATGCTTTATAAAGGACACATATTCCAGCCTATTTGAGCTTCTCTGCTGCTTGGACAGGCTCCGGGAGGGTGAGTTTATGTGGGCACATGAGTGGTGGACATGCCTGTCTGGCTTGTTCAAGAGCACAGAGGGTCGGTCAGAGGACAGCTAGAAGCTGAAAAGCTTGTCATGGTTCTGAAAAGCTCCCCATGGTTACAGCTGCATTACAGATGTTCAGAGGGTATAGGAGAGGCTCCACATGAACATCTTCATGCATCAGGGAGAGATAAGACCAAAAGAGAGTCAAAGCTTATGAGGTTTTCAAGTGTCTTTTTCCTCCTCTTCCTACCGTTATTGTTTAGGTCCATGCCAGAAACGAAGGGCCGGTGGCTGCTGCACCCAGCTGGGCTCTCTGTCAGCCCTGAAGCATGCTGTCCTGGGGCTCTACCTGCTGGTCTTCCTGATTCTCGTGGGCATCTTCATCTTAGCAGGTAAGAGCAACTTTTCCTGTCTTGGCCTTTAAGGATGCGGAAGGAAGTGCATAGGAAGTGAGAGCAGATGGGAACTGGAGAGCTGGAGCCTCGGCGCTTCACTCCCATAATCGTGAGCCCGAACACTGCCCTTCTCACCATGGAAACCACGAAGGGGAAAGCTGGCTGGTCTTTCCAACCTGGCATCAATGTTAGCAGCATTGCCTGTTTCGTGTGAGATGAATTGCTGGCAGGGGCTATGTGAGCTTGGGAAATCTGAGTCCAGGAGCAGAGACCTGCTTACTCTGAGTGGCTTCTGACCGTTTCTGTATCACTGTGTGACACTGGGCATTACACTGGGCCTCCCTGGAGCTCTGCACTGTGTTTTACACAGAACACGGTGGGTTCCTTCTCCTGGGGTGTGATGAAAATCATTATGAGACACTTTGCTGCTGAGGCTAATCAGGGCTGGGGTCAATCTGCTGCCCTTTTGCAATTACTGGGGTGGGATGGGTTTGTCCCAGTTCAGCTGGGCTCTTCTCCCCAGTTTCTGTCTGCAGGACAGGCTGGGGGTGGGCTGGAGTTTGGAGCACATTCTCTAGTCAGGAAGGAGCAGAGCATGGTTGTAGGAAGGAATCAGATGGAGGACCCCATGTTTTGAGCAGCCCAGGTCACTGCCCATGGGTTGTCCCACCATAATGGAGATGGTATAGGCACAGAGGCTGTGGTGGTCTCTCCCGACTCCCACCAGAGGGTGGGATGCTCAATGCCCACCTTTCTCAATGGAGGTATGTAAGGCTTGACAAAGTAAGCCAAGGGATCAGTTTATTTCAACCTCACTCATCTTACATGAATGGCTACTTTGTGCCAGGTTCCATGCTAGGATTGGAGATACAGCTAAATAAAACCCAGGGGCTTCTCCTAAGGAGCTCCCAGTCTGAGGGGAGAGGCAGGGACACACAGATAGAGCCCCGTCTCAAGGTGGAATGCGATAGGGGCTATGATGGGGACTGTGTGTTGACACAAGTGCTGTGGTCATCCAGAGGAGGCTCACACAGTGAAAGTGTGGGTGTGGCATGGTGGGGGGATTGGTCAGAGCAAGGCTGCTGGCCGGGAAGAGCTGGCTTGGGGTGCTGGGGGGGGGTCCTTGAGTTAACTCTAGGGAAGGAATCTGGAGGTTAAGCCCTTGCAGATGACCCTTTGTTGAAAATCCCGAGGCAGATGCCTAGGACATCCCTGGTCATGTCTCACATTCTGCCAAGTGAAAATAGTCACCTGGGCCCTGTGATGAGAGGCTCAGTGCTGCCTTCACCCTCAGGTTCCCACACTCAGGACAAAGGGCATCGTTAGGGGTGTTGTCGGTCCCACCAACCATTGACCTGGAGGGCAGCCAACAGCAACAATGAAAGAAACTCATGATTCATCCCAGGGATCCATGGATGATATCCAGCCAGAGGATGATTTGAACATGTTCTTGGGCTGCTCAGTGAGAGATTGAGATCTGGGTTTTGTGGGCTTGGCAGCCACAACTGTAACAAATTTCCAGAATTTTTGGAAAGTGTTTCAGCCCAGCAGGAAAGCTGGGCTATGGCATTACAGCTTCTCTGCTAAACAGGAATGTTTAGGTGACAGAAGAGGGTCTAGAGGAGTGAGGCTGGGGGACCATGGGGCAGATCTCTGGAGGCCTGGAGGGCCTGAAAGGGCATCATCTCTTGGGAAGGGAAGACTTGCAGGGGGATGAAAGTTCTTTTCTGGTGTCTGAAGGGCTGCCATATGGAAAAGAGCAGACATAGTCTATGTGGCCCCAGAGGGCAGAACTAGACAAATGGATGGATTTTGTAAAGAGACAGATTTCCATTCAAACTAGAGGGGAGTTCCTAATGAGTAGTGCTGTTCTGCATGGTGAAGGAAAGCTTTTCTCCTGGCTTGTGAGTTGGATGGGATGTATGACGAGATCCTGGAATAGTTTCAGAAAAGAGGGTGGAACGTGGCTTCCCAATATAATGACAATGTTGCCAGGCTTCCTTAGTTGTTCCACGTGGAAACCTGGGGAGGGTTTTGATCATTATGATCACCTCTAAACCTGAAATTTCTGGGTACCAGATTGCCTGTGTGGAATGAAAATTTGGGGTGGATTGGAACTGATTGATCTGATGGAACAGAGCATCATGTTTTATGCCTTGTCACTGTGGTATGGCCACTGTCACTTCCCCAGGTTCCTGTCTGGAAAACCATGTTAGCCTCTGGGAACGATCTGGTGAGGGTGGCCAATGAAAGAATACAGTCACCAGCTGCCTCTCTGCTAGGGAGGGGACTTAGGGCTATGGTGAACAAGTCTGGTGTTCTTCAAGGAGGCCCTGCCTGACCTTAGGTAGGACGGGAGTTTCTTCAGATTACCCTGATTGAAGACCTCCAGTAATGCTCCCTTTCAGAAAATACAAAGAATGGTGGGGAGATCTATAGTGCAGGGTAAACCAGAGCTTGTCTTGGCCTTTTGTTAGATGTCCTTCTGTGGCTTCCCCTGTTAGAAGTTAATTTAGCCACTGCCCAAACTATTTTATCAATTGAGTTTTCTACCTACCATCTAACTATACATTTCTGACCAGCATCCTCTTATGATCTTTCCTCTGATATTCCCACACCATCACTGGGCCCTCTGCCAACAGTTGTCTCCCAAGGAGGCTGCATCAGACCATCTTTCCCACCACAAATTCCTCTAAGGCTTTCTACTTCTTCAACCCATTTTGGCTATCACCTGGGCTGATGGTTCTCGTTTATGTTTTTGTTGTCTTCCAGATCCAGTTTTGGACAGTACAGATTATCAGGCTCAGTTTCATGAACAAGAGAATTGAAATTGGATGATCATGTGGTCAGGAGGTCCTCAGTCTAGCACTTTAGGGACGATGTTCTCTGATGGAGTTCAACGGTTAGAGGGGGTTCCCTCTTACCCATGCCTATTCTGGGACATCACTGTGGTGACAAAGGGTGGTCATCAGGAACCACATTTTTCTTGTCATTGAGGAACTTGAATTCAACTGTGAAAATGAAACAGCAGAAAGGGGAAGTGCAAACATTTGGGGGGTCTAATTTGGTAGGAAGCTGAAGTATTACAGAAATAGAGACATAGAACTGGACCGGGGAGAGTTCCTGGTAAAATATGGGCTCCTCTCACACCTTAATTTATTGGGTTGTCGGAAAAGTAGCGACGCATTTTGCAACAAAGAACAGAAAAAAATACGTCATGACTTTCCCAACAATCCAATAGTTCATTCTTAACAGCAACAGTCAGACATCACCATCATCATTCCTTAGTAAGTGCATGAGCACTTAGTAGGTGCAGAGCAATGGAACACGCCCTGGCATTTTGGTCCATTCAAGTTTCCATAACAAACTGCCATAGACCAGGGGGCTTAAACAACAGGCATTTATTGGTCAGTTCTGGAGGCTGGGAGGTATAAGATCGAGGCACTGGCAGATTTGGTGCCTGGTGAGGGCCCTTTCCCTGGCTCATAGACAGCCATCTTCTCACTGTGTCCTCACATGGTGGAGGGGGCAAGGGAGCTCTCTGGGGCCTTTTTTATAAAGACACTAATCCCATCATGAGGGTTCCACCTTCATAACCAATTCGCCTCCCAGACGCCCCACCTCCTAATACCATCACCTTGGGGTTTAGGATTTAACATATGAATTTGGGTGGGACGCGAACTTACAGTCTATAGCATGGGAATAAAAGAATCATGAGATGTGGTTCTTTCTCTGGGAGCATTAAAAATGATAAACACACATACACATTAGGACAGTATGTTGTTGCTAAGGCTACATGCCAAACCATGCAGAGGAGAGAGTGTCTGATTCCTGAGAGCAGAAGTAGTTGGGGGAGTCCTCAGCCTGGGGAGAGCTGAACACAAGTGATTCACATGTGGCTTGAACTAAGCACCCCTTGTTTTGATCGCCTTGTTTCAAGTAGGTCTGTCCCTGACTCCACAATCAGAGAACAGTATGCTCAGGGCCCATATTCATTCATACGGCAGATTACTGATACCACCATCTTGAATCTTGGAATTGACACTGGGATGCCCTTGGCTTTTACTGGGACACTGTCAGAAACAGGGACGTGAAACTCCATCCTGTGCTTGTTGTAAGGGTGCTGTTGGGGATGTTGTTCATCCCATAACTTATGTAGACTAAGAGGGCCCATGGAGAAATTATCTTCTGTCTTAGATATGCTTTCCTAATTTGTTTTCATCTCAAGGAGGCTGTGAATCTGAGAGTTATTAAAATCGCTTTCAGGGAGGTAATTATACTGCACACTGAGAGTTGGTTTTCATCTAGTTGTAAGATGTGTGAATTTGAAGGTGATTAAAATGAAAACCTGGAGACAGATCTGTGCTCCACCCAAAGCAACTTACAGACTTTGTGGAAAGCACTTTTGTGTTCACATCATTCCTACCTCCATTTAGCATCTCACTCATTCTCCCTTTATCACATCCTCATCTACTAATATCATAGTGTATTTTATGTCTCCTCGTAAACCACCTTAATCTTTTTAGGAACAAGGAAGGATGTTATACCCAGTTTTGCCTTAAAAGAAAAAAATCTGCCTTCTCTATTTAATTCTGCAAGAGCATGATGTTTTTAATATTATATGTGAATGAGGGCAGGCCGAGTGGCTCAGTTGGTTAAAAGCTCGCTCAAGAGTGTGAGCTCTGACCAACAGCAGTTCGATGCCCGGCCTGAGCTGAGTTGCCGCTGAGCTGCCAACATGTGGCAGGATGGCTCAGCTAAAAAAAAAAAAAGAAAATATTATATGTGAATGGATGAATGAATGAGTGGATAAATGAATGACAGACAAGGAACCTTGGAGGGGATCTTATTTGTGAGAAAAAGATTATTATTTCAGTTTTAGCCAGTTATCTAAATGGCATGGTAAATATGGAATCACCACTCAAGGACATGTGCTAGCAGAAGAAGTGGGTGTGTAATTAATTATATTAATACACACATCACAGTGTGTACTGTAT